TTGATCAATAAGTTACGGATAATATGCTGCAAAATACTATATTTGTATACATACGTACATTTAAATAGAATTTTAAAATATTGGGAAAATATTAATTATATTGGTACTCACCTTAAAAAACATTTCCAAGTTTACAATTTTTGTTCTAGTAAATTTTAACTTTTTGTAGTTAGCATTATTCATTTTCATTGTTAACAATATCAATATTTTACACTTCATATCCATTTCGGTCCAATTACTGCTGTACAATGCGAATATTATTGAATCTTTCTGTGATAAAAAAAAAAAGTAAACATTTTAAAGAGTATTCATTAAATACATTTAAATCTGTAATTATATATATTTCGTTGAATCAACAACTTTATATAAGGCATATATTTTTTATTTTTACCGAACATATGGAATCAACTAGTTTTTTTTAGTTAACATATCTAGTATATATAGATAACATACTTTGTAAAGTAAAAATCAAATAGCATAAGGGTACTCGCTAATTATTATAATTAGGGTTTTGAAATTTCATGAAATTTATTTTCTTCATTTCACGATATTTTCAAGAAATATTTCATTCATATGAAAAATAAAAATAATATTTATTATATATAAAAAATATTGTAGTCATCACCTTGCAAGAGAACATTTTTAAAAGTTGGTTTATTGTATGAAACAGAGAAAATAATATGAACTTAAGCAACTCATTGTAAATAATATAGCAAAATTTGTACCAAAATGTAATGTATAAAAAATGTTATTTTTTTCTTGTTTACTTTTTGATCAATTAATGTAGGCTAAAACGTTGTGTTGTTAAAGACTTAATAAATATATAAAAAAAAATAAATATTTATCATATTTACATATTAAATTGTAGAAATTGTTTAACAAACCTATAATATAACGAACTTAAACGAAGCCTTTTAACTCTTAATTTACAAACTCATAAGCTATCTCAGCTATCATAACATATATTTTCATTTTTAAGACTGCGATATAAGAAAATGTTTGAAGTTTTTTATTTATAAATGTAAATTAATTCTTAATTATTTAAAACTATATTATATATTTATATGTATACAATTATAATTTATAAATTATAGTAGAACAGGTTTTATAACTTTATAAGTTTATAATTGAAAAATTCCAAGTGATAATTTCAAATTCAGAACCCTAATTATAACACATAATTATGTTTTTGATATTTTTGATTTATCATCAAAAAATTAACTTTGAAAATATTGCTGCATGTAATACTATAACAATACATAAGACGTACATGCCTGTTCAACAAATATAATAAACTCAAAATATAATTCATTTCAAATTACTTGGTCGTGTAAGTTTCCAAATAAATAACACACCGCAAATAGTTTGAACAAATATGGAGGAATTGCACAAAACATTTTTACTATAAAAATTCCTGAACTTCTAATTTGTCGTTGGAATAAAAAAAAAATTACTATAGATACTAAATAATGGGTTTTGTATATGCCCCCATGATAATTTTAAAACATTAGTACATAATTGATATAAGTCTATAAATATTTATAATTTATAAGTTTTAAGTATTAAGTATAATAAACACAAAAATCCAATATTATGGCTATTATAACATTTTATTTAATATCTGCTATATTTATGGACTTATTATCCTTAATATAAACATAAACTGAAAAGTTATTCATTCGAATTACGAATTAAATAAATATCAATTTTTAATAAACCATTCAATACATTAATTTAATTTAATCCTCTATATAGGTGATTATTTGAAAACCAGAAGGGTGCGTCGCAACGAGGCACTGAAAAAATCTAAAAGATGTACGGTTTTTATAAGGATTCCAAAATACTGAGTTAAATTACATTCATTATTCAATGAAAAAATGAAGTTGAGCCTGCTTGGTGAATTACTCAGTACTAAGTACTTAAACAGATTTTTATAAATTTATTAAATTTATGCTTAACGAAATATAAATACTTATATTTAAATGTATATGAATGTAGAATGACTAATGTACTCATATACCTAAAAGCCGTACTCACCAACTAAGGAAATATCTTCGCCAAGCGATTTATGCCCGACCGATTCAAATGCGGTGCAAATCATTTCCATCTGACAGCTTATAGCTAAGCAAAGTGTCACCAGAAGAATATCAAATACGCAGATAACCATTGATAGGAAAACTAAGTACGAACCTGTAATGAATTTTCAACGCTGTTTGGTTTATGGTAATTATCGTGCGTTTATTTTCATACTTAATTATTTTGTACATAGATTTTATATCATTCGTGGTACAATATTTCTTTTCAATTAGTTTATACTCTTTCGAGTGTACATTAAAAATATTTATCTTGGGGATACATATAATGGGTGGGTATGTGTACATATAACTCACGGTTTTTGGACTCTCCGTCAGTGATGAGGTCAGTACAGATGTGGATGAATGTCAGCAGTGTCCTGTTGTTCAACCCTCCCCGTCTGATACAACAGACGGTAGTTGCCGGTGGTGTTGGCGTGGTTGACTCGTGCAGGTAGACGCAGGGACAGTAGTGATGGCTCAGCGTGCGATAAGTTGTAATCCGATACAACTTACTATATAAACAATGGCTTGACGTTGAAATAATGACAACATAAAATCGGACGGCGGCGGCAACGGCTCGGCGTTCACAATAAACAAACTGATCGGACGGCGGCGGCAACGGCTCGGCGTTCACGATAGACGGCGGCGACAACGGATCGTACGGCGGCGACAACGGCTCGGCGTTCGACAGTGCGCGGATACGGGAGTGTCGGGCAAGACTATGTACACATCCGTTAATCACTAGTTGAAGAACTGGTGCGGCTTGTGCAGTCTCTTGGACCAATCACTGTTATATGTGCAAGCTGAATAGCGTCCGTAGTCACGAGTGGTAAGACTCGTGCGGCTCGCTATTGCCTTGCACTCAGCGGGGAGAAGATGATTCTACGGTCTCTCATCGGCTGGTATTTGTGTAGTATGCGGAACACTGGTCCCGGTTACATGACTCGGTTTCCTTTTTGCTAGTGGAGTTGTTTAGGTGCTTGCTTGAACTTGTCGGTAGTAATAATATGATGGTTGAAATGCTGACGATTCCGAATCTGGAATCAGCGATTTGATTTTTCTTTTAGTTGCTGAGAAAACTCATGTTTTCCGATGGGCGGCCAAGGGCTGTTGTACTATGTGGCCGGCCAGCGCTATCTGTTGCGCCGTTTGTCCGTTGCACACAGTGGATGCATTCGTTTTTTGGGCGGCGACGCTTGTTGTGAGAGGATGTAATGAAGACCGCTAGAGTGCGCCACATAAATGGGCACTCCGTTTTGTCTCATTACATTGTCCCCTTTTTTATTTTCTTTTTTTTTTGAGTTGTTGATTTTTGAAGATTTGGGAAAAGAGAGAAAAAAAATAAAATAAAAACTTAAAATTTTGACATCAGTGTAATGAATGATTGCTCTTGGTAAAATGGTTATTGTTTCTTCAGATTCTTGACTTGCTTGAACTTTTCCTGATATATCAATTTCTTGAGTTTGGTATTCGAGATCTCACCAAAAACCTTGGTAAATTTGCTCAGGGTGATAACATCTTTCTTAAACCCTTGGTATGATCCTTGATTTCTTCGGAGAACTTCTGACAATATTACTTGGATAGGATCTGGTCCAGGACTGTTTTCAGGACTTTCAACTGAACCGATAGAACTCAATGGTGATGTGCCAATTTCGAGTATTTCCGTGTCTACTGGTTCGATCTCATCACTATCTGTGACTACAGTGTCAGGTGATGAGGGAGTGTCTTCATTCGGAGTAGTAGTAACTTGCTTAGTTTGTTCAACTTTGACCAGGCATACAGATTCCGGAAGAGTCCACTCTGGTTCCAGCCGGTAGTGAGTCCTTTTGGCTGCTTCCTCACGGTAAAAGCTGGCAACTCTTTTCTTCTGTTCACTGGTTAGAAATCGATCAATGTGTGTCACATCTATTCTATTAATCGACTGTTTGATTTTGCTTAATGGGATTTGAATGGGAAGATTCATTTTGATATGTTTTTTTTTTCCTACAGGGGAAAGGGGGTTAGTTGGATATATGATATAATTGTTAGTTCCACAGACATATAGGGTTAATTACACGCACATTACATATATATATTTTTTTTTTTTTTTTTTTTTTTTTTTTTTTTTTTTTTTATGGTAATTATATTGTACTCTGAATTTACTGGTTTGTATGAGACGTACCTATGCTGGGTTTGTCTGCATAATATTTTTTTATGTTTTTGAGGTTGAAAGTGCAGAATTTCCCGTTACCCTGAACTGTTACTGTGTTGTTGGGATGCACTTTTTGTATGATATACGGTCCGTGGTACAGTAAAAACAGTTTGTGTGTTTCCTTATCCTCGGCCGATGACAATCGATGCTCTTTAACCAGTATAGAGTCTCCCACGCTGTATTGTGGAAATTTCTTGTCTCTGTCTTTGTAGGCGTTTCGTAACTCAGACTTTTTCTTCGATCGCTTCATCACAATTTGTATTATTTTAGGCTCTGCTTCATTTGGATCGCCTTTAGGGAAATTTATTAGCCGCGTGATTGATAGTTTGGGTTTCTCCCCAAACATTAGGTAGTGTGGTGTGCATTCGGTGGTGGTATGAGTGGTATTATTAATCCAGTATTCGATGTTGTCCAACCACCTTAACCAGTTGGTGTGTTGCTTATGACAATATGTGCGTAAGAGTCGCCCAATTTCGCGATTTACTCTTTCTACCGGGTTGCTCTCTGGATGGTAAGTCGTCGTGTGAATATTCTTAATGTTCAGTCCACTCATCACCTGGTCCCATTTGTGGCTAGTAAATTGTGTTCCGTTGTCAGTTAATATCTTTTTGAACAGTCCCATAGTAGGGATGTAGTCACTGATTATGTGCTTGATGATAGTGTCAGTGGTAGCTCTTTTTAATGGGTAGAGTTTTATATATTTGGAGAAAACATCAAGAAGAGCCAAAATATATCTACACCCTCCTTGTCCCCTCGGTAAGGGCCCCATGAGATCTGCCGATATCATTTCTCTTGGTTTTTCCGGGGTTAGGCTTAACGTTGGTCCCCCTAGCGGTGAGGTTACTTATTTTTGCCTTTTGACATAAGTCACAAACTTTGATGATCCCTTTGATTGTCTGGTACATATTTTTGAATTGGTGGTTCTGTTGTAACAGTTTGAATGTCTTGTATGTACCACAGTGTCCATAAATTCGATGGGTTTCCTCCACCAGAGGTCTCACTATTGCCCCAGGTACGACAATTTGATATTCTCCGGTGTTAGATTGACGAAATAGTAAGTTCTGATGTAACATGAGATTGTGGTCCGCTCGCTGGGCCATACGTCTTTTTAGTTTGTTAATATGTTCATCTCCTTTCTGCAGCTCTTCTAACTCTTTGAATTGTTCTCTGAGTTCCGGGCTGTAGTCCAGTAGTGTTAATTTATTTATTATAATTGTTTTGGTACTGATCTGAGTGTCTTCGGTTGGTGACTGTGGGTACCTCGTTAAGGTGTCAGCCCCTATGTTCTCTCTTCCCGGGATATGTTTGATTTCAAGTTGAAATTCCTGGAGAAAAGTGGCCCACCTGATCAACCGTGCGTTGAGCAGCTGACAGGTGTTCAAAAAAGTAAGTGCATGATGATCAGTTAACACTTTTACCTTGTTTCCCAACAGGTAGTTCCGGAATTTTTTACATGCGAACACTATGGCTAGTAGCTCCAACTCCGTAGTGTTGTAGTTTCTTTCTGCAGCTTTCAAAGTTCTGCTCGCAAAACCAAGTGTTTGGTGCTGTCCCTCTTCATTGATTTGGTATAGTTCCGCGCCCAGATGTGTTGTTGATGCATCTGTGTTGAGGTAAAACTCCCGGTCAAAGTCAGGAAATTGGATTATTATATCTTCAATAAATTTTTGTTTTATTCGTTCAAAAGTTTGTTGTTGTGTATCGCCCCATATCCATTTGGCATCTTTTTTGGTTAATTTGCTTAGGTACCCTGTATCTTGTGATAGGTCCCTTATGAATTTGCGATAGAAATTTATGAATCCCAAAAACGCTTGCACTTGTTTTCTTGTTTTGGGTGGTTGGAAGTTCTGGATGGTCTGAATCTTATCTGGATCCATTAATATTCCCTTTTCACTGATGATGTGCCCAAGGAACATAATTTGATTTTTTAGGAATTGTGACTTTTTTCGGTTGATCGTTATGTTATGTTGTGCCAATTTGTTGAAGATCTGTTCCAGATGATACATATGTTCAGTAAAGCTGGTGGATGTAATATGTATGTCATCAACATAAATTGCGGAAAATTGTAGGATCTCCGGTCCTAGCACTTGATCCAAAATCTTCTGGAATTCGGCGACCGAATTTATTAGTCCAAACGGTAGCACTTTGAACTGATAATTCCTACCTTTATGTAGGAACGCAGTTATTTCGCGACATTCCTTCTTAAGAGGACACTGCCAGTAACCGGCGGTTAAGTCGATTGTGCTTAGGTACTTCATTCCTTTGAACTTCATCAATATATCATCCATGTTCGCAGGACATTCCCTATCTGGTATTATGACCGTGTTAATTTTTCGTGCGTCCAGACACAGTCTAATATCTCCATTCTTTTTCTCCATACATACAATCGGTGATGACCACGGCGAAGTTGATTTTTCAATGATCTGTAAATCCAGCATCCTTTGTATTTCAGTGTCAACTCTATGAATTTTCGATACTGGTATCGGATATGGGCGCTGGTAAATCGGGTCCCCTGGTTTGGTGCGTATCTGACATTGGAACTCATTGATTTTCCCAGGCTGTTCAGAAAAAATGTGCTCATATTTTTCTAATAATGACACAAATATTTGATTCTCTTGGTTGGTCAGTGTGATCTGATCATCATCTGCATTTTCATTGATTTCTACATTCAGAAGGTGTTCCTTACCCGTTTTCGGCTCTCTAGCTGTTGGCAAATGGTATGGTGACTGGTAAATCGTTAACTTGGAACTGTACCGTTTGCTCATCGAACTTGATTTGTGCCGAATACTTATTTAATATGTCAGCACCAATGATCCCTTTCTCGTTAAGACCTTCAACTTGAATGAAGTTTGTTTGGAAATAAATGTCGCCTATTTTGCACTCACAAAATATTTGCTTGGATGCCTTACATATTTTCTTCCCCACTGCATTGCTGATTTGTATTCCAGTTACTGGTAGTTGTGGTATTCTGGAATTTTTCTGCGTAATAACATCGATTACCTCCTTGGTAAGGACGCTTATCGTAGCCCCAGTATCTACAAGCAACATCATTTCCTCACCTTCAATATTGCACTTTAGATACGGGCTTATTGACGAGTTCGTAGCATTTATTAAATTTATTGCATGGTTCTCACTATTACTCGTGCCTGCTTGTTGATCTATATTTGTTGATACTTGATTTATTTGCTCTTTTTGTTGAGTGCTAATCGGTTGTGTATCTCCGCGTTTGTTGTTTTCGTGGTTGCGGTACGGTGGATTGTTGTTCCACCGATTGTTTCTCGGCGGCATATTGTTCCAACCATTATTTCGCTGGTTGTTCCAATTATTGTTTTTCTGTTGGTTATTGCTACTCTTGTCCGTGATTGGTGTTTCTGTTTTTTCGTTTGTATTTTCTTCTTCTCCCAGCACTTTCATGGCAGCTATTATTGTCCTCTCGGGCAATGACACAAGTATTGCTCGTAAATAACCCGGATAATGCTTGGCAATGTGTTTTACAATTTCTGGTTCCGACAGTCTTGGTACCTCCAAGTGCCGTAACTTCGTGGCCCAGGTCGCAAAATGCTCTCGGTAGTTTGCTGTTACCTGGTTTACACTTAGGCATTGGCTCCAGACTTGAATTTGTATCTCCCTGGACCAATACTCATCAATAAATGCCCTCTTGAAATCTTCATATACGCATAATTGGAACCGTACTGTGGAGAACCAACTATATGCATTTGATTTTAGACAGTCTCCTACGACAATAATTTTTTCTCCCACGTATGTTTGCTTGATGGCAAAATACTCTTCAAGTCGGTTCAGGAAGTCTCGTGGGTGCATGTCCCGTCCACTTCCATAGAACGTAGGTCGTGCAATATCTGTGTGATGTAGATTGTTGTTGTTTGTTACACACGTATGCACTGGTGGTGGTGATGGTCGTTGCTCCTGGTGTTCATATTTTTGTTCAAGTTCGTTGAACTTTCTTGACCATTTTTCTTCAATTTTTTCTATTTCATTGACGTAGTCATCTTTGAGGTTTTCAATTTTCTGTAATAGTTGATTTACCAAATATTGGCTGTTTCGTTCGACTTCTTCCTTGAACGCATTAAATACTTCTTCCGTTACTCTTGCTTTCGGTGCCATTTTAAAGATGTAGTTTTGACGTAGTTTTTCTTCTTTGTGACACGAAGTAGCTTTTCTTAATCTCGTGGTCGACGTAGAATTATCTTCTTACTCGAGCACTGCAGTTGGGCGCCAAATGTAATGAATTTTCAACGCTGTTTGGTTTATGGTAATTATCGTGCGTTTATTTTCATACTTAATTATTTTGTACATAGATTTTATATCATTCGTGGTACAATATTTCTTTTCAATTAGTTTATACTCTTTCGAGTGTACATTAAAAATATTTATCTTGGGGATACATATAATGGGTGGGTATGTGTACATATAACTCACGGTTTTTGGACTCTCCGTCAGTGATGAGGTCAGTACAGATGTGGATGAATGTCAGCAGTGTCCTGTTGTTCAACCCTCCCCGTCTGATACAACAGACGGTAGTTGCCGGTGGTGTTGGCGTGGTTGACTCGTGCAGGTAGACGCAGGGACAGTAGTGATGGCTCAGCGTGCGATAAGTTGTAATCCGATACAACTTACTATATAAACAATGGCTTGACGTTGAAATAATGACAACATAAAATCGGACGGCGGCGGCAACGGCTCGGCGTTCACAATAAACAAACTGATCGGACGGCGGCGGCAACGGCTCGGCGTTCACGATAGACGGCGGCGACAACGGATCGTACGGCGGCGACAACGGCTCGGCGTTCGACAGTGCGCGGATACGGGAGTGTCGGGCAAGACTATGTACACATCCGTTAATCACTAGTTGAAGAACTGGTGCGGCTTGTGCAGTCTCTTGGACCAATCACTGTTATATGTGCAAGCTGAATAGCGTCCGTAGTCACGAGTGGTAAGACTCGTGCGGCTCGCTATTGCCTTGCACTCAGCGGGGAGAAGATGATTCTACGGTCTCTCATCGGCTGGTATTTGTGTAGTATGCGGAACACTGGTCCCGGTTACATGACTCGGTTTCCTTTTTGCTAGTGGAGTTGTTTAGGTGCTTGCTTGAACTTGTCGGTAGTAATAATATGATGGTTGAAATGCTGACGATTCCGAATCTGGAATCAGCGATTTGATTTTTCTTTTAGTTGCTGAGAAAACTCATGTTTTCCGATGGGCGGCCAAGGGCTGTTGTACTATGTGGCCGGCCAGCGCTATCTGTTGCGCCGTTTGTCCGTTGCACACAGTGGATGCATTCGTTTTTTGGGCGGCGACGCTTGTTGTGAGAGGATGTAATGAAGACCGCTAGAGTGCGCCACATAAATGGGCACTCCGTTTTGTCTCATTACAAACCTTCGACCAAGTAAAACGTATAGTAATGTGCATTGTACGTTTCGTCGGATGCAAATAAATACAAATTGAATAAGTTCTGGCGATAACCGCTGACCGTACCGTCGCGATTTTTGACTGGTAACATATCGTTCGACAATGCCAGGGTACTAACGAAGTAAATTATCAGTGACGTGATATATGTGGCTAGCAGTACAGTCGTTATAAGCACGGATTGTTCTCTCCAACGATCCAGTATATGCCTGTCTCGGAGGCTTTGAGATGTAAAACCGTAGAACGTGATCGACAAACAGTTCCATATGCTGTCCGAGTAGTAGACGACGATGTACATCTGGTAGAACAAGTACAACGATATTAAGCCTTTCCAATGGAAGTCAATGCTCAAAGGCAAATTGTTCTCCCAATAGTACACACCGCTAACGCACAAAATTATCCCAAAAGCACACAAACAGAGAGTTATGAATGCTGCGACCAAGTGGTAGACGCTTTGACCGCGATATATTTTGAGGCTTCGGGGATCGAATGTTTGATATAAACCCGTTAGTTTAGCCAATCTAATGTTGAAAACATGATTGCGATCGTCTCGAATATCCATGACAAAATTGCTATTTTATTTTTGTGTAAAATATGCAATCAAAAATAATATAATTATTCACGATGTATAACTTTTGGTCGTGTCAACTCTATTGAGTTCTTTCACTCACGAGTG